CCTGGGGTTAGCCTGCGTACGCGGTTGACTCCGCCTACTGTAACGCCGGTTTATGTCACAATCGGGTTGTTGCCGCTTTATATGCTCAATCCGCGTTAGGATAAGGACATCGAAGGATAAGGATAAGGACAACGCTGCTCGTGCATCACACAAGAGACACGGCGGCCGTGTTCCAAAATTTACTCGACCTTACTCCAGGGTAAGGGTTTTGTACCCTTGGCGTTCTAAAACCTACCCGCGTCCAGCGTTTTTCAATCTGTGCTGTCACGTGATACGATCCGCCGGAGTAACTCGGATCCATTTGGGTAACATTTGGAACACAGCCGGCGTTTCTCCGCAGACACAACGACAGAGTTATCCACGGACACGCCTCGAGTGAGTTTGGAGCGCTCCGAACATGCCTGCAGACGGATGGATGGATGAATGGATGCTAGATGGATATACCCTTTGTAACAGGCGGTAGCTTGCGCCACCTAGCCTAAGTCTGAGACAATTTTTGTATGACCGATGTGGCAGGTTCAGGGAAGAAAGGCGCCCCAGACAGGGTATCTGCAGAGCGTCTTTTGCGTGAACTGGCCGAAAGATCCGATGTCGCGTGTTGGGTCGAGTGTCAGGGTAATCTCGGTACGTTGAGTAGATTGTTGGGCTAGTTGGTTTTGGAATTTGGAATACATTTTAGCGCTCAAAAAACAGGGACAAAGAAGCGAGAAACAGACAGCACAGTGCGCTACTAACAACTGATTTTATTACGTGAAACGACACTTTTATACCATCCGAGTTTCTGATTTTGCTCCACCACTAGCCAACCCGGTGCCAGGCCGCGTCATTGAGGAACGCACGCTCCTTGTCCAGTAAATCAATTGAGGCCACGCTGACACATGCTGCACCACCCTTCTTAATCTCATCTGCCTCGACTATCTCCCTCACAGTTTTTTCCTTGTGCCGTGCCAGAATCTTGCTCTCGGAAAACAACGGCATACACTTGCACCTTTCACAATGATCAGACAGATGACCGTCCCGATAATTTCCTACTTTAAGTTTGTGCTCCCTCAGCCTATCATTAACACACCTACCTGTCTGACCTATATACTTGTTTCCGCATGATAAGGGGATCTGATATACTACTCCCTCCGCACATTCAACGAAGGGATCCCTGTGTTTTACCGCGCAGCCAGAAGGGGCCTTACAAAAAGGATCTGTCATCCTACATAATCTACTAAGTTTGTTTGGTGCGGAAAACACTACTTTCACGTTTGATCCATTGGCCACCTTTTTCAAGCCATGCGCCGTTTTGTGAATGTACGGTATCACCGCGACCTTCTGTTTATCTCTGAGAACCATTGGGCAAGGGCGATCTTCACTACGCAATCTTTTTAATATGATCTCTGCAACTGAGACCACTACATTCTTCGGGAAGCCAGCTGCCAACAACCGCCTATACTGCGTGCCCAGGCCTTCTGACATAGGCGGTTGTTGGCAGCTGGCTTCCCGAAGAATGTAGTGGTCTCAGTTGCAGAGATCGTATTAAAAAGATTGCGTAGTGAAGATCGCCCTTGCCCAATGGTTCTCAGAGATAAACAGAAGGTCGCGGTGATACCGTACATTCACAAAACGGCGCATGGCTTGAAAAAGGTGGCCAATAGATCAAACGTGAAAGTAGTGTTTTCCGCACCAAACAAACTTAGTAGATTATGTAGGATGACAGATCCTTTTTGTAAGGCCCCTTCTGGCTGCGCGGTAAAACACAGGGATCCCTTCGTTGAATGTGCGGAGGGAGTAGTATATCAGATCCCCTTATCATGCGGAAACAAGTATATAGGTCAGACAGGTAGGTGTGCTAATGATAGGCTGAGGGAGCACAAACTTAAAGTAGGAAATTATCCGGACGGTCATCTGTCTGATCATTGTGAAAGGTGCAAGTGTATGCCGTTGTTTTCCGAGAGCAAGATTCTGGCACGGCACAAGGAAAAAACTGTGAGGGAGATAGTCGAGGCAGATGAGATTAAGAAGGGTGGTGCAGCATGTGTCAGCGTGGCCTCAATTGATTTACTGGACAAGGAGCGTGCGTTCCTCAATGACGCGGCCTGGCACCGGGTGGGCTAGTGGTGGAGCAAAATCAGAAACTCGGATGGTATAAAAGTGTCGTTTCACGTAATAAAATCAGTTGTTAGTAGCGCACTGTGCTGTCTGTTTCTCGCCTCTTTGTCCCTGTTTTTTGAGCCCTGAAATGTATTCCAAATTCGGTACGTTTGTTCGTCTTGGTGATGATGCGGCTGCTCTACGGGCTAGAAAGTGCCGCGTCACTGCGGCGTGCAAACCACGTGATTCCCAGGTGCACGTACGGTATACCACGACGTCTGTGATGGTGACGTCCACAGTGCAGCGTGTGGCCAACGCCGCCCAAGAATAATCAAAGCCCGTGCACTTGAATTTGGACGTCGTCACAATGAGAGGGAACGAGGACACACGATTGGACAGGATTCCAATTGCTGACTCAGCAATTGGGCTCCGGCCCAAGCGTTGAGTTGGCGGCATTCGGTTGCCATGACGTCACGGCACGCGGACCTGGAAGAGGCTACTGTAGGCCTTGATTGTTCTAGGCGTTCTGGATGAGGGCGGATTTTCAGCTCCCGAACTCTGTGTTCTGAGATGCCACGCCCCATAGCAGCCACCAAGTCCACAGTTTGCGACGGGGCCTAAATTGCATAAAATTACAGTCACGCGCTGGCGTACAAATGACTTGGGTGCCTTAATGATCACGCGCATGAAGGCACCCTATCGCACGACATGGTAAACACAAACAAACACTCGCACGCGAGGAAACGTATACCCTCTGTGTGCACGAGGAACAGTGGCGTGGTCAAGGTGTGTACCTGTGGAACGATTATAGACCCGGCGGACGTTCCGGGCTTTGGGTGCGTCAACCGATTGCTTAATGATGCGCGACTTCGCATCGGCGTCCGGGAGATTGACCTCGCTGATTGGCCTGCCATTTATGATTGGCCAGTCACGACTGTGCTGCGGAAGAGAGCGGAGCTATACCCTCCGTCCTTTTTACTTACATGCACGAAGCGCTACTAAGGCAACAAAGGCGAAGTCAATACCAGACAAGGCGCTATAATTTCGCGTGTTAGCTCGTATACGTTGAAGGCAACGTCTAAATGTAAGCGCCTGTGCACTTAGCCTTGAGTATGCTTAACGTCGTGGTGGTCACTGACAATTTAAGAAACGGAGGGCGCACCAATCGGATTGCGGCATTGGCCGATAAGAGCGCCGAAGAACCAAGCACGAAAGGAGCGTGAATTCACATCATACACCACGCCCCCAGCGTTTATTAAAGTTGTCAGTGGTTGTAGTACGTGGATGCCTGGTCTTCACCCACCTTGAGAACTGGAGAAGATGGTCACGTGGACCCAGAGGGAAATAACGAATAACCAAATACGCATGTCTACATTGTCGAATCTGGCCCCATAATTGCCAGTACCTGGGCTGTAGCGACATAGCTTTTTAAAGGAAAAAAAAAGTTCGTAGCTATTTTTTGTTTATTGTTTTCTAAAGCAACTTTGTCGCTTCTTGTGTGCTTTTGCACGTCTTGGCCATCATATTGTGCACTGGCGATAAGTTAGAAACGGCGTCTTTTCAAATTAATTTTTGTTAGATCTCAGGAGGCGTCAACATTGAAGTATAACTGAACCGCCCCTCCATCTTCTTGTGAGGTACTCAATGCCGTGAAACCTCGTACAGCGTGCTTCTTTGTTTCTGTCATTCTTCCCCGTTTTATGGACTATTATCTCTACTGTCCCAACTATCTCTTCATGACTGCACCTGAACACATGCATCCGCTAATATTTAACCTAATTTTATAAAGTGGTTCAAGTCACCAGGCTCGATCTAAAATCGACCGTAAAAATCGACGCCTGCATGTAGCCATCTAAACTTTTCAGTAAAGGTGTATTTCACAGGTCGGTTTTTTCTTGTAAAATTACAAAGCGTAGTTCTCTTTTAGTAAAAAATAGGGCCAAGAAACTTGGCAGGGTCTACGGCGGGCGGCGACCCAGATGACCAAGTCCAGTAGCAGGGTATGTTTTGCGTTCGTATTGATAGATGGCGTTGGGAGCAGCGTCTGAAGGTGCAGCCGACCAGCAAGAGATATCAGACGACACGCAGACGAAATCCGTTGGCAGCAAAAGCGTGGCCGTTATGCAGACGCGCTTTTTACTTTAAGTTTTGCTTTTATTGTTCGCATTTATTTTTTAACCGAGGGTACATTTCAAGAAGGTTATATTCATTTTAATAAACCACGGTGGTCACGAGCCGTCGTGATAGGGAGGTAGCGCCATCTATCAATACGAACGCCAAACATTCCCCACTACTGGACCCCTGTCGTCTGCGTTGCTGCCCGCCGTACACCCTGGCAAGTTTCTTCGCCTTATTTTTTACAGAAAGAGAGCTACGCTTTGTAATTTTACAAGAAAAAACCGACCTGTGAAACACAGCTTTGACGAAAAGTTTAGATTGCTACGTGCAGGCGTCGATTTTTACGGTCCATTTTAGATCGAACCTGGTGACTTGGACCACCCTACATAAACCTTAAGTCAGGTAAGCGTATAAGTATCGCGTGAAACGAGCATCGAATCTTGATGGCCGACCTGTAGATTCGTCTTCTGCCGGGCAGAAACCCGGTTTTCAGTTTCCTTCTCTCCATTTCCTCCTCGCTCACTCTCTTCTCTCCTCCTCTCCCCGTAGGAGCGAATTTTTGAGCAACTCCCAGCAGAAAGAAGGAGCGTATCCCTCTCTCGAAGGGAAAGGAGGAATTCATGGAGAGTTTTCTTCCATTTCGCTCCCCAAAGACGAATCATTGTAGAGGGAAACTTACCACCGAACCTGCCGTGGTATTCACGGAGACCTACCTTGATTTGAGCATCTGGATGATGTCAGGGTCCACATGCTACAGAACATAATGAATAATATCCAACTGTAGAACAGAAAGAAAACGAGCATTTTGCTTTGACGTTGATATACTGCAATTTGTGTTTTTATTTCTGACGACACGTAAGTTTTCAGACTAAGTACACCGTCGATATTCACACTCTTGGATTTACATTTGATTCAGGTATATTATAGGACCCGTGTCACCGAATACACGTTTACTATCGCCTTTACCTATATTACAATCTCGCATGGCTGGCCGTAGCTACGGGCAGACCTTGGGTAAAGCTTCGTCTGACTGGTCCATGGATAACACCTGCCACACGATTACTCTTTCCGCGCATGCGCAGGAGAGGAGACAGACTGGGTTTAATAAAATTCATGTATGCAAAGATATTTAATACAATGCATCTTAGCGCGTTGCGCCACAAGCGGGAAGACATGAGGATAGGTGGTGCCGCCCTATTAAACATATTGAGTCATTGCTACTTGCAGCTATCTATCCACAGTGCTGTTATCTATAACTGGATCCGCAAAATAGGCAATTCAAATGAAAACAAAATTTGAGAGATAGATCCCCAATAAAAATGGACAGACGTTTCATTTGGCTGAAAACAGGGAAGCCAAAGCGTCTAATGGAATGCTTAAAACTTACCTTCAAACCTGAATCTAGCACATAGAAAGGGGATGTGTTTCAAGGGGATACGAATGAAACGATTAGACGCTATATATGGTTCACTTACGTATTGGCTCCGTTGTTTACCTGCAGGCCCTCAACCCTAACTGGAATCGGATGCTCTACCGGATCACCCGATAGCTCTATGCGTACTCCCAGTAGTTATTTACCGCTTAGGAACAATGGGATTGGCATTTCCGGAAGACATACGGGATTGGGCTCACGTGAACGCGAAAAGTCAACAGGTTGGAGTAGTGAGCTGTGTGCGAAGACATAACCGGAACCATATATGGTTCCTCCTGGAGCGCGTCTCCTCCGACTGGCGTGTTTACTGCGGCTTCAAACCTGGTCCCTCCATTTCCACCCGGTGACGTCATAGGAGTCATGTGCTTTTGCCTGTCGCGATCCTAGCGGTGGTATACTGTAGTTGAGGTGGATGAAGCCGAAGCCTTTTTCCGCAGCGGGTCTCTCTTCATCTCTTCAGCTGTGAGAGTTCAGCGTTGCCTCAGCGGCCAGAGGTCGGGACTCGCGTTCGCCCCTTTTTTTTTCATTTTTGCCTGAACTTTCGCGACTGTGTGGCGACATCCGACTGTGTGGCAAGACGGCTCACGTGAAGTCATTTGTTGCCCTACACGCGGGTGCAGATCGCGAGAGAAATGTCGACATGACTGCCACCGTCCGACTGCCCAATCGTAATCAACTTGCACTTTTTTGCCTAACTGTTGCGCGTCAACAATCGTAAGCCGTGGTAACACGAGCTTCACTTCGCGTATACGCGGAGTAAAGTATGCACGGACCATTCCTGTATACTTCTAAAACTCTCACCGGCTTCGTTTCCTCTCTCTCTCTCTCTGCTGTACATCTTGGTAAAGTTACGCTGTGGATTCATGTCAGCTTGACCGTAATCAACAAGCGCTTGGTTGTTTTAGAAAAGAATGTTACAGAGACTTAACTAGGACTGATCCCGGCTTAAGGGCCATTAGTTTTCTAAAAGGTTCACCTATTGGAAGGATTATTATCGAGTGACGTACATATTTTAAATTTACATTTTCCTGCAAGTAAAATAAATAACGCAAAATAAATAATAAAGAAACAGCTCCTCCCCTTCCAAATTTGCTTTGAAGAACTCTTCCTCACGAGGAAGTTTTTTTATTTAACGCTTTCGTCTCAATTTTGTTTCCGCTCTAAAACAGTGTCTCTAGCAATACTCGATAATAATAAGCTAAATTTCTCACAGCTATATTCATAAACAAAATAATTCATAGTGGCATTTTTTTTCTTCTAGAAGGATTCGAACAGTGTGATCGTTCATCCTAAATAGATACGCAATATTCACTGTAACACAATTTACCCACACGGAGCACTGCTAGCTGAAAAAAAAGAAGAAGAAAAAGCGTCCAACACATATTTTATATTGTCACTGATAGGATGAGAACTACAGAACGGTCTTTTTCTGGTGCTCGACCTCCAGCTCGCAATCGCAGCCTTCCGTCGTGCTTTAGCTTCTCGTGCGCTCTCAAAACTCACGAGACGGCCAAGCGTTAACGAAGAAGGTAGGAAGGTCGCCCTGGAGGCGGGACGACCGAAAGCCTTCGCCGCCGTTTTCATTCTGCCAGTGACTATAGTCGGTTCAGTCGGTGTAGGAACAACACTTTTGGTTCGAGGTGCACCGTAAAAAGCCGCGGTCGCACGGTTCACACAACATGCAAAAGACAGTCCGCATGACACTAGGGAGTTTTAGGGAACCGTTTTTGCACACCCGATACGGTGTGGTGGGCCCTCCGGTACCGACTGCGCATGTGCGAGTCTTCTGTGGTAGCGCGTGCGCAGTGCATACCGGAGGGCACATCGTACCATATGGGATGTGCCAAAACGGTTCCCTAAAACCCTCTAATAGGGAGTTTTAGGGAACAGTGTTTGCCCACCCGGTACGGTGGGCAATCCGGTACCAACTGCGCATGCGCGAGTCTTCTGTGGTAGCGCATGCGCAGTGCATACCGGAGGGCACATCGTACCGAATGGGGTTCCCTAAAACGGTTCCCTAAAACTCCCTACTGTCTGAGGCGTGTCGGTCCCTTGTATGACGGTCCTTTCAGACTGGTCATACAAAAACTGCCTGCAGACATCTTCGAAGCATGGAAATCTACGAGGCAAATTGTGCTTCGAACATGCTTCACGCGTGTCCGTTTGGATACTCCTGTCATCATGCCTGCAGTGAACACAGTGTGTTTCGAATGATATGAGCAGTGTGGCCTGCGGCTTTAAACAACGCGGTTTGTTTCCTGAGAACGCATATCGCCTGTAAGCGCCATATATAGTCTTTGGAGAGATGTCGCCTTTATGTCTATGTACAATTGACGATATCCCATATATATACTAAGCGCGAAGCGCACAAGTTCACAGGTTGTCTTCACTTTGTCTCCCCGAAGATGTTATGTATCTTAGGCGGCGCTGATGTCCTATCAACGTCCGTACAACACATCTATGGAATGACAGGACGTCCCGCCGAACGTCCCCAGAACCGCGTGTCCTGCCAGGGCTATAGGGCATGCTTTCCCCTGGTGGTTTCTCGAAGACGTCCGGCTTGTGTTTGAGCTGTGATGGTCCATTGAACGTTCACTTCTCGCACATGGTCGACGTTTCTGACTCCTCCGAAATGGTGACGTCACGAGGTTCTCGTCGCTGGTCCTGCCCGCCTTCCGGTCACGTGACTCCAGGGAGAGTTCTTGCCGAGTTGGGACTGAAACGAGGCAGAAAGGATTCATCGTGAGAGTGTGTTCGAGACACAATTTCGGTGTAACGTTAAAGCATTTTGACATCAATTTATGTCACCCGCGTTTTTTTCTGACTGCAATTATAATGTAATTTAAGTTTAATTTATACCAATATATGTGGAGGCTTTATTTGTACCAATATATGTGGATTCTATATGTGAACAATGAAAACAGTGACGTCAGTAAAAAGCAGGCTTGCAGGTCGAGCGACCAGTCTAAAATGGACTATAGCCGAGCATTTGTATCGGGCAGCTCCGCGGGTGCTGGAATGAGCTTCCAAAGCATTCGTTTGACACCATGAAACTGCTTGAAATCATTTGGGACCGGAGTCATCAGTCCAAAGAGTGAGCCCCTGCCATCCTCTGACGTCACTTTTTCATTGTTGCCGGCAGAGACTTGCACTTTAGAAAGCACGGTGAGGGCCAAAAATGTAAATTCAATAACTTCTCGAAAAACACTTTTTTTTTTGCCCAATATTCGGGTTACTTTTTTTAGCGATGTTTGTTTATGTGTTTAGTAAAATTTCCGAGCAAATCGCGGACTATGAAGGAAACGCCTTTAGAAGGATACTTCAACGAAATTTGTAATATATCGGTCGTATTCAGACATAGCTAGATTGAATATGATCCACAATATCCGTAAATGACAATCGCACGTTTGTGTTTTCAGCCTGGTGGCTGTATTTTTCGTTATAAACGGCCCACTCTGGCAAGCGCTCGGAGAGCAGCCAGCCGAGAGCACGTGACATCCGGCGCAGTCGTGACGTAGCCTGTCTCGGGACGAGCAAAGCTGCGGCGCGAGGCTGACGTCGACAAGACGATTGCAAGCAGGGCATCTGGCCGCCGCCCTATATGTCTCCGCTCGTGCGGGCAAGCGCGTGCGATTACAAGCTTGTCAAAGCTACGTTCACACGCACGCTGCACATGCTGGCACGTGCATGGGCAGTGAAGCTATAGTTCTATCGGGTGCATCAAATAGCGGCCAGGCTTTTTAGATCGACCGCAAAAATCGATTTCTTAACCTATCGCGTTGCGATTTTGAGCAGCGTTGCTCACAGGTTGGGCATTTTTTCTATAGAATTTGCGAAGAGCCAAAATTATCCGAGAAAAAAGTAAAAAAGAAAAAAAAAAAAGGCTTAACTCCTATGGAAACGCAGCGAAGCCACCGGCCCTCAAACATTAGGGCGCGCCTTTTTCTTTTTTACTTTTTCCTCAGCTAAGTTCGCTCTTTGCAAATTTTATAGAAAAATTTCACCACCTGTGGGCGACGCTGCACAAAGTCGTAGCGCGATAGGTTAACAAACCGATTTTCGCGGTCGATTTGAAGAGCCTGGCCGCTCTTTGGAGACACCCTGTAAGCAAGACAGGCATCGTATATACCTGTCAATAGACGGTCATTACAAACGAGGCTTTAACGACATCCACCAGGTGCCATTTGATAATCGTATAATCCGTTTTAAAATTCCTTTTTGTGTCTTTTTCAACGAGAGATTGGAGTGTCGGATGCGATACTGCTCCCTCGAACACGTATACAGACCATGAAATAAGCGCCGAAATTTTGTTGTTGCATCCCTTTAGTATAAAAATTAAATTACTAGATTCGATTTCCTCCACAAAGACAAATTCCGGTTTCCCGAGTCTCCGATCCACGAGGTACGGCCATTTAAAAATCAGACTGCTCTCGTGTAGCTAACAAAGTACGGGGAGGGTTGAAACTGGAAAAGAGTATGTCGCCGACACTCGGCTTCCCCAAGTTAATCGACTCTATTTTTAAACCTCGCTGCTGGATTTCTTTTTTTTTAGGCTCACGCGCCGTTAAGACGTCGATGTCTATACGTTCTTGTCCAAAGTCATTCGGAGAGCTTAAACATCGAACCGCGCAACAATTTAAAATTGTTTTGCGCGTTTGTTTAAATCGCGTGAAGTTAATCAGCCCCAAAGCGACGTCTCCATTGTCTCTGTTGTAGACGAGACAATTAGCCAGTGCAGTACCAATGTTAGCTTAGGAAAAAACACTTAAATCGTCTTCATTCGGCCTCCAGGATCATGAATGTCGAGAAAATATATATTTACCTCGTGCACGTAAGCGACAAAAAAATATATATATATATATATTTTTTTTTAGGGTATTGCTGAAGCCATTTTTTCAAGGAGAGTGACGTCAGATCCAAAGTTTTGGGAATCTCCGCTCTCGCGCACTCTCGCTATTTTCAAAAAAGGTCAGAAAAATGACGTCACGACTCGGGTCAGTGCAAGGGGGAATATACCTGGCAAGCTTGCATATTGTTTGGAACTCGGCGCGCGTCCTTTGCTTTGTCAACCGCAGCGCGTGGCTGTGATAATTATGCATTGGCGGCCTATAAATAATCGGCTGCAGATCATGTAGCCGCTTGTTGTGGCTGCAAAATAAAAAAAAAGAACGTTTTTTTTTGTGACTAATTTTTTCCAAGGAGAAAAACTAGCTCCTGCTTTATGGGTAGGGCTCCGTGTCTTCGGATAAATCCGAAAAACTCCGAAAAACACCCGCCGGTAAATATTTCGTCAATTCGGATTTATCCGATAAACTCCGAATGTTTATGTGTCAATGCCCCCCCCCCCCCCCCCCCCTTTCCCAATACAAAAAAAAAAAGTTTTTTTTTTCTTTTTTTCTTACAATTTGTTTAGCACGGAGTCAATGGTCCTGTGAAAATGGCACCATAATTATCTTTCAAATCTCAGACCGTTGTCAGAAGGGGTCTTGCCGCTTGTCTCGTCGAGGTTGATTCAGGGCAACACGTCATCGTACATTCGGGTCACGGCAAAAGCCACTCTTTTGGTTTTTAATTGGAGCCATTCGATTTGTGATTTATAGAAAGGAGAAATGTTTTTGTAACAGTGAAAGCTAGGGACCATAGAGATTGCATTAAATGGGGAAGAGGGGCAGTTGAAACTTCTCTATTACATCCTTAACCACTCCACCTCGCGCGGCCGCGGGATCGATTGGGGGGATGACTACGAGCTTCCTTGCGGCTACCTCCGGCAGTTTATTGATTTTAAGTTATCGACGTTTATCGAAGCCACACTTGTGCGGGACATTCGTCGTGGCAATAATTAATAATGCCAATGGCAATGGCACGAACGTCAAATTCAACTGAAGAAATTTTAATCGATACAGGCGCGTGTTATTTTTTATTTGCATACGTTTACATCCGGTTATTATTTTCATATTTATTTTCAATAGGAAACACTGAAATTAAACTCCGAATTTCGGAGAATTGGCAATCAAACAAATGTAAACTCCGATAAACTCCGAATCTTCGCCAAAAAATAAACTCCGAAAAACACCCTCCGAGTTTGACGAAAAATAAACTCCGAAAACACGGAGCCCTATTTATGGGTTATGACATGGTTATAAACGTCAGGTGCGGGGCTCAAACGGTGCCCAAAGTGCTACCTCCACAATAATATAAAACAGACAAAAAAACTTGCTCTGAAATCATAAAAAGAAAGTCCAAGAGCAGTTTGATTTTTTTTTTTAATTGTCATCACGTGTGTGACGAAACACGCGCCTTTCAGAAAGAACGAACGATGAAACGTCAATCAAAGCACTGGACAACTCTCATTTAACTGAGCTTAAGGAATGGGCACGCATAAGCAACCCAAATTTGAAAGGAACGTCGATTTTTGTTTTCTTTTTTGGCGTCAGGGGAGTCATTATGATTGAGTAGGTACATAATGAACAAACTGCCTTTGTTCGTTTTTGCTTTAAAAATCCCAATATTGATGGAGATGTTGGCACACGCTTTCGAGTCCCGGATACTCCACACCGATAGCATAAAAACAGGAAATAAAAAAAATAATAGTGAATAAATTTTAATAAAAGTTGCAAGTCTGTCAATTGGACGTCACTCTACCTGGAAGTTATTACTTAGAGCCCGGCACGGGTAACAAAATGATCATCCGCATCCGAACCGCATCCGCAGAATTCGGAGCTAAATTCGACCCGACAATCCGAACATTCAGGTTACATCATTACATCAAACATGAATAAAAAAAAAATGTGTCTGGATGGTACTTTATACGCCGTTTGCTTCTTTTTGTACAAGAACTCTTCGAGCCAGAATATGCTGCAAAAAACTCATTTTAACGTGTTTTTTGTTTTGTCGTATCTGTATTATAAACGATCATTCTCGCAGAGCCACTTCACGTTGCCGGAAAGATGATCGCAGTTATAATGAGATCGTCCTGAGGTTCTGCGACGTTCTTCAGAAAAGATGCGATGATATGAAAGAGCAGTTTCAGATATATATTTTTATTTTTGTTTTGAAGTACGTACTTCAAGGCGACGCGCATTTTATAAAATGAAACTTAATAAAGACCAGACTAATAACATTGTGTAATTTAATTTAGGGCAAGCAATGAAAAAAAGTGCGAGAGGAAAGGCGGTCACTCACCCCGGCAAAACATTCGGATATACGTGGCAAGGCGCGATTACATCACTGTAAAAAAAAAAAATAAAAAAAAAAAAAATATATATATATATATATATATATATATATATATATATATATATATATATATATATATATATGTACAGGGATGGGGCAAAATACATGCAAATATGTATCGAAATACAAATACAAAATACTTTATCAAAAATGTATTTAATTACAAATCGAATTACATTTACAAAAAACATTTAAGTACAAGATACAAATACAACCAAATGTATTTGGTCTTTTCGAAATACTTTTCCAAATACATTCCTCAAAATTTGCGTCAGCGAGTTCAGGGCACCTGCAGCGGGTTTCTGGGTATCTCATTTTAATTTTGCATCGCACACTCGGGAGTTAGTGTGCGAGACTCTAGTAACGTAATAGAAATATAATTACAAAAAAAAATGTAATCAGCTTGGACGTAATAGGTGAAAAAAGTACAAAGCTTCAAGCAGCTTTTTTTTTTTGTCAATTACATTTTGGTATAGACCT